TCAGCCTAACTTAAGCGCATCTAGCTCTTTTCGTGCTTGCACTCGTTCCTCGACATTTTGCCAGAGCGGTTAGCGATTCTCCCACTCGATACGTATTTCCTTCTTTTCGCCGTTTCGTGAACAATGCTTTAGCATTGGCGCTAGCACCATTCTAGGTAAAACCGATCCATCAGTAAAACACAACGTTTTCGTAAACATGACGTCAAATAAACCTGATACGCAAGTTGGTAATTGGTTCGAGAGAAAATGCTGAGGTACCACAAATGAATGTATAATGTGGGCATAGAAGAACATCGAATAAGCCCAGTATTATAAAGTTCAGCCAAAAAACTTTAGTGTTACGGGCAGTTACACTTGAATATTGCCAGAATCTGTACACGAACAGCCTATTTCACAGCCGAAAATAAAGCAGAGTAATAGGCAAATGACAAACCTTGACAGTAAATCAATGGGTTTAGCTCGGTTCTGTTCAATTCGGATTCTCGATCGGAACCTAAAATCGTTATGTAAGATAATAAAACGGAATAACATAGGAATAAAGACAAAATAACATGAAGACAGTTGCTAAAGCTACCTTGGCCTGCTGAAGTTGGAAATCAGCTTCCTTGGAGGTCCATTCAGCATGTGCTTTTCGATCGGTATCGCGCTGCATCATTTCCATATCTTCTCGGGCAGCCAAACGAGCATCACGTGCACGTTTCAACTCTTCCATTTCTCGTAAGTTTTTCTCCACTCGGCTACGCATTCTACAAAACGTCCATAAACGCTGTTAGAGCTTCAAGGGCATGGGTCTTGAAAATGGCACATAGACCGCACCAATGTTGCATAAACAAGTGACAAACAGATCAAGTACTTGGGCTGCGTTCATACTTTGCGTCAGCATTTGAGCGTATCGAGCGACTAGATATAGATTTAGCGTTTTGACGGGATGATGCTGAAAACGCTGGCATGCGCTCAAAACGCTATAACGATATCTAGACCTTCCTATTCAAAACACTGCAGCACGATGGCGTACCCCTGATCGATACCTATATTTATTTAGTCGCTTGAAACGCTCAAGAATGGTGACACAAAGTATGAACGCAGCCTACGAGTGTGATAGTTGACATGAACAAAGTCTTACTCTTTTTCGATTTCCTTGCGCGAAAGTCCAGATTTGCCTTCTCGTTCCAACTTTTTGCCCCATACAAAGGTTTCAGTAAGGTTTACATCGTTGAATGGATTGTTCAAATTCGTGTAGGCAATCTGAGGCGGTAGGTAGCTCTTGTTCTCCTTTTTCTTCATCTCTTCCTGAAAATCGCGCACTTTATAAGACTCAAAGGGAACTAAATAACTGAAAGATCTAGGAAAAGGACACAACAATATGAACGGGTTTTGACATACTTTCTTAAGTTTCTTAGCCAAACGACGTGCTCTCTTTTCTTCAGGGGTTTCTTTTGCTTTCAGCTTCTCTTTTTCCAGTTTTCGTAAACGTCGTTTCTCGGCACGCTGTTCATCGAGGACTGTCTGAAAGGGAGCAGAAGATGATATGGAAACGGCTTCCTTTAATCTGGCCAAAGCCATCACAAATGATAGTCTCGTTCACTATTGATGAATAGGTGTGTCAAGCGGAATGGATTTGGCGCGGCGCCAAACCCGACCGGTTGTTCAAGCGGATAAGCGACAATTATTGATGCTAAACCGATACAAACGATATGATTATGTCGCTTGCTCGCTCCAACAACTGGTGGAAAACGGGACTGACGCACACACGCCAAACCAATCCCGCCTGGAACGCCCCTCATCCGCAACGAACAAGAGTGTAAGCATTCCATAAATTAAACTCTGTAAGTTCTTACGTGTGACTGCAAAGATCTACCTGAAACCTTGAATCGCTCCGCTCTGAGTGACTGCTCGCGGAGGAGGAACTGGAACGTGTGCGTCTTTTGGACTTATTGTGTGAGTGCTTGTCTCTACTTCTTGATCGTTTGCGTTCTTTCTTTGTTTTCTTTTTGTCGTGCCCCATACTTCTGAAAGCTACATGTAAACATATACAAGCAAAACAAACAACGAAGTGTCCGTCGAGTGGAATTTTTGCTTGGAAAAGAAGAATGAAAAAGCTAGAGGTCGATTCAAATATGATTCAAAATGGAAGTCAATAAGTTCTGATGGAGACAGTAAAGAAGACGTTGGAAATAATCAACAGAATTGAAAGTGAAAGTTTCGAAGAGTTCAGCTTTTTCGCTCAGCTTTCAGCAGTTTCGAATTGTGACTGGCAGGTACTTCGGAAGCTCAGGCCTAGAAACTTGCCCAGGAACACAGTTTTACACACTTCAAGCACAAATAGATAAAAGAAGACAACGAACATTTTCGACGAAAATGTGAAAGAAGTTCGAAAAAAGTTTGACGACAATACAAGCAACAAGCTCTCAGTATCGCGAATTGTGTCGTCGTAACAAAATCAGGCCAGAAGCTTTTCTGAAAGTTTGGTCGAGGAGCCGTCTCATCTTTTGTGTGATCCGTAGTAGATCAGTTGTAAAAAGGCTTCTCCCTTCAGCTGAGAACTTGTGATGCGGTTAGGTCTATCTGCATATCTGCATATCTCATCTGTGCATTTATACTGTAAGAGAACAGGTGGATTCCGTAGGTTCCACTTTCTGCATTATTGCAGTAAGGTGGGGCATTTTGTTGCGGAGCACCCAAGTCATCTAAGACCACGACAGCTTTTGCACGAAGGCATAGACTCAGCAGGGGTAAGGATAGTTCAGGTGCCGCACTGCACGCAAACGGGCCGGTATTTTAGATAGTTGACCCGACGGGAGACCCATGCGTCAAGTCAACTGTGTCTTGTGAGACTGCGTCCCGTGATATATTTGACGGCATTAGCTCAGTGTAAGCTAACATACATAACACATTTGAACTGATGTTAAAGTCCTGTGTGAATCAGGGAAATTCCTGCCTTGGGAGGGGGGGGGGGTGTAACATCTTCCTGTAGAATACGACTTTTTCCAAACTTTCTCCTTCTTCCCCATGCCCACCCTAGCTACCTCCCGTCACTCGCCGCTAAATCTACAACAGGAAAAATTCGGGGACGAGTTTTCCGCGGCTTTGGAGCAGGCTTTTTGGACTGGAGCGTACTATCCCTTCAACACAATACGGTAGTGGTCTCCCTAAAATCTCCCAACGCTTCGTACCACTTTTTCCGGTTTTTTTCTTTCCAAAAATCCTCCTTTTCTACCCCCTCCACAAGCATCCTCAGCTAGGGGGATAGGGTGAAGGCATTTGAAACAGGAAAACTGAGAGAAGTCTGCAGCTGGGTTTCTCAAAGGCTCTACACCGACCAAATAAGAG